CTCCGCCTGCGCTGACAGTAGACCTGGTTTCAGCTGGCGAGCTTTTAGCACACCTTCAGCGAAGCCTTTTGGCACTAAACTGTCACTGCGCCAAGCTGGATCTGTCGACACCTCCCCCTGCTGCGCCGCCACACCCATCTCAGCGCACCTCGGTCTGCCAAACTACCAAACTGAGCGCGCCTCGGGTTGTGCTGCTCGAAACTAGCTCTGCGCGGGGTTCACCACCCTGCGCTGCGCCGGGAAACTAGAGCCCTGCCTGTTCAAGTCCAGAATTTCACGCCACATCGCCCTTCTGTATAAAAGGTACGATTGCAGAGTGGGGGGACAGAGTTGTCTCGCATCTGAGTCAAGAACGGAGGTAGTAACAGCGCTGAAATGGTGTCTGTATAAACGAGATAGCTGGCATGGCGGGACCATGGGTGGCACAGGTGTGACGTTTTGACGACGTGTTATGAGTGCAACCCACCATGGGAGATTTAAAAAGTAGCTGCTAGCAGTTAGCAGCTAACTCACAGAAGAACACTGGCTGAAAATGTTCGCAAACTGGGAAAACAATGAGATCAGAGCAGAGGACGAGATCAGTAGCCATATAACAGAGGTGGTAAATGATTGTTATTGCCATATTATGTCATTGTTATTGTTTATAAAGCGTTGGCGACGCGTCAAACTAGAGACTGATGCTGTTGTGTTAAATGTCACACCTGTCACACACTCTTTTCATTCTGTGATGCTGAGATGCTATCTAAAACAACACACTGGAGAGGAGTGATGCCGCCGACATTTGTTTCTTGTGTAAAAATGCAAAGGCGGCATGAAGAAGGGTGTGCGTAGCGGCCTTATCGAGCAATCTCTGTGTAAAAAGGGCGACAGAAAATCCCAGGAAACACAATCCTGATTGTGATTCAATAATCATTGATCCAATCAGTGCAGTAATTGGACCAAAAAAAGTGCCAGCTCCCCAAAATAGCAGTTGCCTGACATGATCAGCGCACGTGTCTTGGATATATTTATATTAATATGAATATCTTGGTGATGTATTCCACCTCAAATGTATATTTTCATGCATTTCGTAACATGTGCATTCCTACTTTACCTAGGACGTACGTTTCTAAGGTTTGTACCTAAATGTCTATAAAAACTTTATGCTACTGATAGGAATACAATTGTACACAAATATTATATTGCATATATGCTACAAAAAGCATCCAGCATCTTAGCTTCTTATCTCTCACACTGAGCCAATCATAGTAGCCATATTTGTCAACTTAGCCTGTCATTCAGCTCATGGTGCAAAGCAGTTGGCAGCTGATGGGGAAGGCTTTGCATTGGTGCTGCAGCTGGTACCAACAGCCTCTGAGTCATTAGTGCTGCAGCTAAGTACAGCAAAGTTACAGCAGCAGCAGCAGCATTCAGAAAAGAACTCATCAGTTGCTAAAGTGTCTGCCTGGTCCTGTTTTTTTTCTTATGGTGTTTTTTAATCCATTTCAATGTGGACATTCACATGCTGTTTGTTCAGCTATGTGTTTACACAGAGACGCAGTCATGCAGGTGTTTAGGGGTGTGTACACACACACCTGGACACATGTTGGGAGGTGGAGGTACACAACAAGACGTAAGGGCGCTCATGGTGACAGAATATAAGGAGTGCTGGGACTCAGTGGTGGCAGATTTTCAGCACCTCTGTCCTCTAAATGTGTGCGTAATTTCAAACCCTGAGGTTCAGGTTTGAGTGCACTTTAAAAAGACTAGGTCACCTGTTTTGTTCTCAAACTGGATGATATATAACACAAGCACAGGTTCACCTAGTTTACAGAGCACAGCACATGCAGGGATGCTAATAATAATATTGCAGCTTTAAAATATCTCAACCACCTGTGTGATATAATAAACACAGTTGCCTTATTTGCCTGTATTTTGTGTGTGAACTTTCAGTGAAAGCCAAATTCACGACATTTCACGACAACACTTTGTTACACTTCACTCAACACCTGAACACATGAACATCAGCTGAGTCCAACAACATACAGCTGAGGCTGGGGAAATGCAGCTGAGGCTGGAGATGGGAATCAAGAACTGGTTCCAGTTAAAAACCAGCTCCAAATTGTCTGATCCATTGAAATCATTCGCCTCCGAGCTTATCAATTCTTTTTCTTGAAGAAACGATCCAAAGCGTGGCTTTATTTCATGAAGACAGATGACGACAGTGTTGCTGTAAAGCCTGTAAAATGATCATTTCAAGTAAGGTGGAAACACCAGCAGTGTGCTGAAACATCTTGCTACGCAACGTGGGTTTAAAATCCAGGAAGGCCATGACCCTCTGCCACTGCCTCCCAACCGAGCAGCATGTCTGTTACTGAGGGTCAATATCCTGTTTTATAACATCAGCACCACACAGGCAGGTAAGCAGAATTTTTCTTTGACATGAAAACCTAAAACGAATGTTGTAAATATTTTCTCATTTCATCTACACTGTTCAGACTCAGATAATCAAACAGTTGCACTGATGCAAAAAACCTGTGTAGGCCTACGGTTTTTTACAGAATTGAAAATGACAATGCTTTCAATAAAGTCTCATCAGTTCTCATTCCAATGCTGGGGCTAAAGCCCTGCACACATGCAGAGACAGAAGACAGAAGAATCGTCCCCTTACATTTATTGTAAGCCAAGAATTTAAGTATGTGCATGCAGGCAAATCTTTTGGATTATCAGAAGGCTCCCTCTTTAGCCACACCAACACAATCCCTCAAACACTTGAGCTGCCAAGCAGTGTATGGCTAACAGAAACCTTTCAGAAGCTGTGAAAAGAAGCCTCCTTTTGCTACTCATCACGGCCAACTCTACCATCACGCATCACAAAGCAGGCACATTCAAAGACATCAGGTCATTAGCTTGATAAAAACTGCTCAGCAACAAGTAACATTTTGCACAGATAAGAGACAAAAGGTGACACAAAAATAATTCATCTAACCACAGTTACTTAATTTCACACACACTCCACACTGCCTGCTAATGCTACTCGTCATATCAACTTGACTTTACCATCAAATGACATAACGTGTACAAAGAAACCAGTCTCCACAACACTGCTCACTTATTAGTGCTAAGCAGTCTTTCACTACTAGCAGCAGAAATCTCCAAGGCAGAAGTTCCCACAGAACTCCCAAAAATGCATCTAAAAACACAAACATTAAATGACTTAATTTCCTAATATGGACACATAAACCCAATTCTCAAAGGTCCAGTGTAGGATTTAGGGGGATATATTGGCAGAAATGAGCCGTTTCTATCTACATAGGAAGCGGGTCCTCATCTATGGAGATTGCCATGTTGCACCGCCATGTTTCTAAAGTTGCCCAAAATGGACAAACCAAACACTGGCTCTAGATAGGACTTCTTGCGTTTTCACATTGAGCACCACAGTTAGAAGCTCATCTGCAATGAACAGTGTCGGAGAAACACTGATTTGTAACGCGAAACTGCTTTATTCCGTGTCTTTACTGGGTTAAATGACCAGGGGTCTCATTCCTAAACATTGCGTACGCACAAAACAAGACCTGGAAGAGGCGTACGCCACTTCCCACCGAAAAGTTGTGATCTATAAATACAGACTTGATGGGAGAAACTTTGACCCATGCTTACGAACATTTTGGAGACTGGAAACTAGCAACGGAAATGGTGAGGTGGACGCTTGGTTGTAGACACTGTCGATTATTTTGTGG